AGAAGGTGGTGAGCAATTGCATCACTTGTTTTTCCTGGGTTTTGCTTCTTTCTCTCTTTTTGTTGTTTTCCTTTTCATTACATTATTATTATTATTTATTATTATTATATTTTATTTCAATCATTAAACTGTTCTTATTGCAACCCATGAGTTTTCCTACTTTTAACTCTTCTGATTCTCTCCTCCATCCCACAGGGGGGAGGGTGAGTGAGCGGCTGGGTGGTGCTTGGCTGCTGACTGGGGCTAAACTGCGACAGATAGTAAAAGGCCACAGACTGGGGCACTGACCTGACACCACAAGGACTCAGGACATCTCTGGGCTTGCCGTCCCTTCAGCTGGGTGTCCCTGTGATCACAAGTGTCCCGTGGCCAAGGGCCTCGTGCCCGACCTGCCTGAGCTCAGCGCTGGGGACACCCCGCATGGCCAAGGGCTGCCGCCCCGGGCAGGCACTGCCCAACAAACACCAGCCCTTTGTGTGCCCGGGCTGGGCGCTGGGCAGCTCTGCCACTGGCGCTGGGGACCAGGGAGAATGGAGCAGGCAGTGGGGACAAAGCATCTTCAAATAGCCAAAGTGGATACAAGACTTAGAGGGAAGACATCTTTCACGAACATCAAACTCCTCAAGGTGAAGACCTCAAGACGTTGATGATTTGCTGTAACACGCCTCGCCCCCTCCTCAACCCTTCTACTAAGGAAGACGGAATCAGCCTTACTGCCGCCCAGAGGGACACTGGAAACACGAGCATCACACCAGATAAAAGGGGCAAGCATTTGTCAGCTTTCCTGTGCAACAGTGTTAAGGTTATTACTATTAATGAGGCTTTTCTGCTTTAATTTGGACTGGGAGTGTTAGTATTATTGCAACTGAACTAATAACAATCTATCAAAATACAACAAACACTTAAGACTTTAATTAAACGAACAGTAAATTCTTGGCTCCGTATTTATGATGTGCTCCCTTTTGCCCCTAATGAGATATTAAGCGTAACATTATCGCCGTGGCCCAGAGGTCTTCTCCACGCATCAAAACCAGAAGCTTCAGGTCAAGGCAAACCACAGCAGTAAACCTCAGTCTCCTCCTTGAGACAGTGACTCAGATTATTCCTCAGAGCCCTGCACTGGCTTTTGCTGCAGGATCTCACCACATTCACTTCTTTCCCACAGCCGTCCAGTTTCTCTCCCCTGTTTCCCCTCCTCTGCTGTTTCCTTGATCTGCTCTTCTCCCACGTTCCTATTTACACTTAACTCCTCTACTCTTGTAACTCCTTTCCCCATGCTGATCCTCCCACAGCAAAGCTTTCAAAATATTTTTGTTTTACATAGAATTACACATAATTACAGCCAAGCCTGAGACTAACGTATTGGGCGTTCAATATCTGCTTGTACAATTCACTCCCTTCCCACCAATGCCCGATTTCCATCTTGCAAATCTGATCTGTAGGGAGATGGCAACCCGAACGTGCACTTGGCTACCTTTTGGAAGGGAAGACAGACAGGTTTATAATGGCATGAACTATCTGAATTCCCAAAGTACCTCTCATCTGAAGTTTTTTTTTTTTTATAAGCCAACATGAAACTAAATACATCGTGACTTTTTTTTCTTTTTTTTCGTTTAAATTACACCCATTTTAAAGATAGGGGAACAACGATTCAAAGTCTCTTCCAAATGTTAGCTACTGATTTCCACACAGCAGGACACAATTGAGAGTCCTCATTCTTCCGTCTATTGCTAGAACACACAACTAGCAAAAGTACCTAGTATTTATAAAATGAGCTTACAGCCAGCTATCACAGGACACGGCACAAACACCTGCATCCATCTGTGAGTAAAACATGAGGTGGAGCTCTGCCCTAAGAGACTTCTGAAGTGAGGAATTAAATGCAGATATTCTGATGACAAGTGGAAGGCTCCTCTGATTTGGACGGAGCTAATGGAAAGGCAAGAAAAAGAGCCTTGCAGCGTGGCACAAAAAGCACTGAAGATGGGAGAGGAGACAAGAATAACACTCCATCAGACATGTACATCCCTCAGTAGACTGAGAAATTTCATTTCAATGGAGATTTCCATAGATATAGTGACAGCTGACAGAAGACAGATAACCAAATAAGAGATCCCAGTAAGTGCTGCTGTCACTGAGGTGCCAGCAATGACTCTGTGACAAGACCATGAGTGGTAAGAGACATGCTGTTCCTATGAGGTTACACACCTTCACTTTAAACAATTATACCCACCTTCACTCTCTGCTGACAAACTAATATACAGCCTTAAACTGCTGCAGGTGAAACACAGCATCCTTATTCCTCAAACTTAAATGGTCCAAGTACACCCAAGAACAGAAACAATATGAAAAGGTGAGCCGAAACCAGGCCACAGCCCTATTTTGCTCCAATATACAAGTCAGAGTAAATTCAAAGAATGTAATTCTCAACCCAAACAGCCATGGGAGCAAAAAAAAAAAAGGGGGGGGGGGAATAACCATGGGTTGACAGGGGCAGGAGGCACCTCTGAAATCCTCCAGGCAACAGTTAACCTTCTAATAACAGAAGATTACATAGACAGCTCATCCTGTGAGAGGGGGAGAAGGCAGTGCAGAAGACTTC